GAGCAACTAGAAGGGCACTGGGAGACCTCCACCAAGGTGTGATGAGACGTGGTCACTTTAATTACAACGGGTTCGCGCCTGCTTGATGAATTCAGTCTGTTCTGCCACAGACACACCAGTGTTACAATGTCATGGGTTCTTCATTTCACTCATTATAGTACAACATAATGTACAGTACAGCACTTTACACTGATCAGCAGTAACACTTTGAGCACTGAACTCCCTGACTGGTCCCAGACCAGCAGACTGCTCTGCACTGTGTGTTCTGAGCCCTTTCTATCAGAACCAGCATTAACTGTTTCAGCAGTTTGAGCTCCAGTAGCTCGTCTGTTGGATCGGACCACACGGGCCGGTCTTCACTCCTCACCTGCATCAATGAGCCTCGGCCGCCCCATGACCCTGTCTCTGGTTCTGTTCCTTCCTTGGACCACTTCTGATAGGTACTGACCTCTGCAGACCGGGAACACCCCACAAGAGCTGCAGGTTTGGAGATGTTCTGACCCAGTCGTCCATCACAATGTGGTTCTTGTCAAAGTCACTCAGATCCTCACGTTGCCCATTTTCCCTGCTTCTAACACTTCAACTCTGAAGACAAAATGTTCACTGTCTGCCTGATATACCCCCCCCACTGAGAGAGCCCTGATAACCAGATAATCAGTGTTATTTACTGTCAGTGCTCACTGTGTTAGGGCTGATCGCTGTATAATACAGTATGTGTATGTAATATATATATATATAATCGTAGTAATAATACATTTATCTCTTGAGTTACTTCTTACGGTATTATTTCTACAAAATAAAAACACAACATACTTCAACTTAATATTGCTTTTGAAGACAGTTTCAGCCTCTTCTTCACTGGTTACCGATTTTACTGATTAAATCTCTTCATGTTTAATTCTGAGATCTGAACTTCCTGCCTAAAGCTTTAAATATCTTATTTCTCTCTATTTTATTATATCATTGTTTGACTATTTGAGTCCATTTCATTTTTGTATTATTTAAAATGTCTCATTTTTATTTGCTTCTTACCTCCTGAAGAACTTTAAATATTAAGAGTTAAAGGTCGTTTTACAGTCAATAAGTGAGAAGTGAATGTGATTGTGTGAAACAATACAATACAATCCACCCACCTTATAGATCGATGTGGGACTCGAACCTGTGACCTTCCCGTTACATAACTAAAGCCTGCAGTTGGTTCCCATCCAGTCTGTCCCAGAGACGTTCTCGCATGACCAATGGAGGTCTAGTCGCCTGTGTGTGTGTGTGTGTGTGTGTGTGTGGCTTCATTAGCGAACAGAGGCGGTCTGTTCAGTAGTTTGTATCAGAGTGGCGAACTCTCATCACTACTAATGAGAACAACATCACCAACCTCCTGAAACATTCTGTTCCTCCAACTCTCCATCAATCTCTCTCTGTGTTCCTCCACTTCTTTCCTCTCAGCTTCCTTTCTCGCTCTCTCCGTCCTGTAAACTACATAAAACTTACCTCAAGTATCTTTGTTATTTCCACCAAGATAAGATAAATAAATGGACCAAACGTTAACCACAGAAATAAGTCAAAATCACCAGATAGTAAATCAAACTTTGGTTGATTTTGGGTGGCTGCAGCCTATATTGGTCGAATATTCTAGTTGGTCTCGATCAACGACATATAAAGATGGACGTCATGACAGCTCTCCAAAAGTGAATCCAGACCTTCTCTATCGCCCCCTGGTGGCTGACTGCAGTGTAGCTAATAAAGCCTGCTGTGTTAGCAGATCAGACAAAAACTAAAAGTCAAGTCAAACAAATTTTTCCCAAAGATGGTTTCTGTCATTTCAGGTCGTTCTTATCACGCTGATGTTAGTGTTCGTTTTTATCATCAGTTTGATTTTAATTAGTTATTTAAAGATATAAAAAGGAGGTTCCACATAATGATTGACAGCTGAGCCCTGTTCGCCATTGAGTCCGCCGGACTTGATACCTTACGCCAACCGGATCACTACTGCACAGACTCTGGCTCCGAATAGCAAAATATGGCAGCAGCCGTATCCGGATATTTTGGCTTCATTTTTGTACAGAGAAAGGAAGTGGAGACTTCAATATCCGAGACCGATCCGAAATCCAAATGAGAGAGACGGACGTCTGGATCTTAAAGAAGCTGAGCTAACGTTAGCAGCAGCTCGGCTCGCAGCCCCTCCGGGACGTCCTTTGTCTGTCCAACAGCGCGGGAGAAGCAGTTTTTAAGGTGGAACTGCTTTATTCAGTGTGTTTAAGGTGGAACTGCTTTATTCAGTGTGTTTAGTGGTTTTAATCAGCGGGTCTGTTTGTGTTGGAGAGGAGGAGACCTCTGTGGATCATTGGGCTCCCGGTAGAAACCTCCTGAACCATGAACACTGAAGGAATCCTAACCGGGAGAAGCTGACTGCAATGACGCCAATGGTGGTGAAGACAACAACTCCCATGATCCCACGCTGCTTCACCACATCAAACTTTGTCTTTTATTATTGTTTTGATGTGAGAGACCCCTAGTGGCAGAAATGACATACTGCATGTTTAACTCAAGGTCACTTACTAGCTTTTTTTTTGGAGTTTTCAGTCACGTCTTCCTCTGTGCACACAGTTTGCTCCATTGTGTAGACCTTCAGTAACATGATAACAAGTCATAAATGGTTGTATATGATTTAGATGTGAATGTCCTCCTTCTTCTGGTCAATGACCTCTGACCCCTTGTCACAGCTCAGTTATCACATGACCATGGTTTTATACTTTTGTATGAAAGCTGAACCAGCTCTTTGTCATCTGAACAACTTGTTGAAAGCTCCAGAAAAGGCTAAAATTCAGAATACTTCATCAGACTTTGATTTGATTTGTCCCAGTAGTCTCACATTATCTGTCTGTCTGCCTCAAGCATCATTTCCTACCTTCCCTTTAAATTTGTAAATCCCCTTCATGGGTTGCCGGGGGTAACCAGGCAAAGACGGGAGAGTGAAAAGAGTCTTGCATTGATTTGGAAAAGAGTTTCTAAATTAACAGAACTGTGTGGGTGCGTGTTCTTTCTCACACGTGAATTTGGGCTGGTATCCCATGGCGACGGGACAGTAGTGAGGTCATTGATATGCAGCGCAGCAGCTCTGCTGAGGGAAAATCCTCCTCGCTCTTATAAGCAGGGAGGAAGGATTCCTTTACACCGTTTAAAACTACATCAGAGACAAAAGTCTCTAATGAGTTTCTGAAAGTCTTTTTGTGAACAAATCCAATTATTTCTTGTTGTATTTCGCCTCATAAAAGGTTAATTTAGTGTTCCCGCCCTGATGTCTCTGCTGAAGCCAATATCTGATTCCATTAAATTCATGATTTTGTTTTCGTTCTTCTCTCATCAGATAGTTCCTGATTTAAATCTGAATTTTGCTGGTTTTAGAGTGTATTTAATTTAGACTTGTGTTTCTCAAACCTTTTACAGCACCTCAGAAAAGAATAATAAGAAGATTAATTATTGTTGACTGATTTTTTTGTCAAGAACCAGAGCTAATTTGGTGGAAAAAGGGTTCCTCCTGGCCCACACTTTTCTTCTCAGTAGTTCCTGGTTTGGAGCCAAGATTCAGTGTGTTTGGACCATTCATTTGACCTCTGCTTACTATCTTACCATCCTATCCCCCAGCGTGATACACAGCAGGCTGATATCGAAACAAACCAATTAGATGAAAGGAAAAAAATTGCATTTCAGTGATCTCATAGGTATAGTTTGTATTATTTTGATAGCATTATTTGTCAAGGTGAGCAAGACCTTTAAGTCTTTCTTAAGACTCTAAGGTTCCGAATGTAAGATTTAGTAGCATCTAGCGGTATAGTTGCAGATTGCAACACTCAAATTTCACCCTCCTTTTCCAACCGCAAGGGAGAAACTATGGTGGCCAGGAAAAATGTGAATGTAGAGCCACTGTTTGTCTGTTCTGGGCTACTGTAGAAACATGGCAGTTCAACATGGAGGACTCAATTGGCTCAAACTAAGGTAACAAAAACATAACCATTCTTATTTTCAGACAGCAGTCATTTGTTAAAAGTTAATTATCCCAAATGTTTCCAACAGTATTTAAACTCAGAGAATCATTTTATTCAGGTAACGATGCGTTTCCTACTAGCCTCAAGTTAATGTAACGTAAGGATAAATAAACTGAATAAAACTTTAATATATTAACTCACCAATGAACAATTTCAGCCTGAGTCATGTCAGATAGATTTTCATCAGCAACAGTGGTCGTTTAACAATGACGACAACTCCCATGATCCCCCTACAGGCAGAAATTGCATACTGTAGGTTTAACATAGAAATTCAGGACTCTCCTGGATGATGTAACAATCCTATACGTCTATGTTCTGACCACCAGTTTAAATTATTTCAACTTCATTTATGGGAAATCAGATGGTGTCCGTCATTTTGGCTGATGTCTCAAAACACTACAATACCCACAAGCCTCAGCTGATGTTGCTATGGAGAAGAAGCCAGTCAGAGCTGTAGTGAATTCAAAATGCTTAGTAACGCAATTCATCCAAAATGTAACTGATTTAAGCATCATTTTTAGCTTCCACCTACCGCTAGCAGCGCAATTTTAACCTCATTAACTAGATGCTTCTTACCTAAATGCACCTTGGGAGTTGTAGTTGACTTCTTTCCTCCAGTTTTTATGTCCACAGGCTTTACCTTTTTCAAAGAACCTCATATTTTCCAACACAGTTTTTCATCTTTTGGACTGATGACTCCATCAGGAGAGTTTTATGTCCATCCAAGCCGTAGACGAGCTTCAGCGGTGAGTCATGTAACTTTGACTGAAAAAATTTATTGGACTTACTTCCAGAACCATGGTCTCTGAAATAGCTCCTCCCACTCCCAGCTGCAGATTTAGGCCTGCAGGAAGAATACTGGGCTTGAATAAAATAGGCCTGAGCATGTTGTGGTGATCAGCTCAGCTTGATGGATAACATCATTATTGCATCAATAAGTTTTCCAGACAACTGCAGTTTAAATTACTCACATTTATTTATAAATTACTACCTATTCACCCGATTGGTCCGTTTATGCCTTGTTCACAAGATAAAAACAACACAGTTTTACTGTAAAAGAAAAATGTAAGACAGGCACTAAAGTTAATTTGTTTTGTGTGGACTGTCCCTTTATTAAAAAGTTATTAAGGAGGCACTTAATGTCAACTTTGTTCACATTTACAATAAACTCAAACACGACACTGGTGGGACTTGAGCTCCGAATATGTCTCGTTTCTTTTCAGATTTATATAATAGACCAAACAGCATGTGAAGGAAACATATTTACCATCTGTAAATAGGGACCCAAATGAAAATGTGACCACTGTCAAAGTGCTGTATATCAAATGTAAACCAGGTGTATCCAAGTTTTCTGTGGAAATGTAGTACTGCTCCACATGTGGATCATTATTTAAGGCAATAAAAGTGACCTCAAAAGATCATCTTTTGATAAAAATCTACTGTCAGTGGTAAAACAACACTGCTAACTTTTGGGTGAAAACTTACAGCTGCAGGTCAAAACATTGATGCAGTTTCTTTTTGTCTCTTAAAGTAGCTGCTCACAGTGTAAAGTTAGTCTGACAAGTTTCTACTCGCTGTTTGTTGATTCAGACACTGACAGTCCGGAGCTGAGGGGACACTAAGGCACAATCGGCTCTGACATATATTATTGTTGCCACCCCGTTGTTTTGACAGAAACCCTAATAGTCCAGAAAATGTCCCATTTGTTTGACAGCCTGTTATTCCGAAAACAAACGCCCTTTGCTCCGAAGGCCTGTTGTTCCAAAAATACACACTCTGGTATCACCAACTTAAGTACGTAACTCAAATGATGTAACTAACATATTTATTTTGAGCCAAATCTTTTCAAATTTCAATTTCAATTTGAATTTTGATGCCTAAACCTAACCAAACTGCAACGGTTTCACAATGTTTACCACATGTTAAAATTACAACAAAGGTCACCTTGCTTTGTCTTTTTCTGCACATCCAGTGTGTATTAAAACAAGGCCTTCACAGCAGTGAGTGATTGTTTACATGTAAGCTGTCTGACAAATGGGCTTTCAGTCCAATGGGACATTTTTTGGACTACTGGGGTTTCAGAATACTGGGCCAACAATGGGCAGTTTTCATTTTAATACCATGAATTTAACACTGTGACACTGAACATTACGAAGGCATACACATTCTTGTGACATAAAAAAATTACTATCTCGCTTCCCTTCATACAAAGATGTAATTAGTTGTAATTCTAGAACTAAAGTAAGCTACGTCCATATCTTCTGTTTCTTCATTTGTACTAGTTGTTTGAGTTTGACAGTCTGAGTGAAAGCACTGTCCTAAACACATATTAATACACATCCTACACATTTTGACTTCCTGTACAAAGAGACCACCTCAGTACTGAAGAGGTCTGAGTCCTGTTCAATACTCTTCAGATCTCCTCCCTTCCCCCACTTCACTACTTTCATCCCTTTTGAGAAATAACTTTTACTATAACCTGTTCCCAGGGTCGTTTGTTCCCAGGGTCCTATGTTTCTAAGGTCCTATGCACCCAAGGTCCTATGTTTCCAAGGTCTTATGTTCCCTAGTTAAATATTCAGTTAAAACACACAAACCCTCCTGTTTAGTTCGGGTCAAAACTCTGGCCCCTAACCCTGGGAATATGGGACCATGAGAACAGATATGAAGAACAGGGGAACATAGGACACTTGGAGCATAGAAATGAACTCCCTACGTTTGTTTAATCCATCCATGTAATATTGGAAGATCTTCATTCATATTTCAACACAGCTCTGATTGGAACACAGTCAAGGGGACATAACATTTTGGCCAAAATTTGTTGCTAGAAGAAAGATGAGGTGAGTCACCAAAAGCATCTAGGAATCCTCCTCTTTTGACCACGAAGTCGAAAACAAGTCGTTGCCATTTCAATACACAACACGTCAACTGTACTCTTTTCAGCCAGTTTAATGGTTATGTAACTTGTCCGCTCATTGACGTTTAACAGCCAATTGGATTATTTCTGTCTCACCAGCGTTTTTAACCATCTTTAGATCATGTTTGCCATCAACCTGCTGTAAGGGATGTAAACAGCAGCCCTAATTACTTCCCCATAAAACACAGCAAAACATCAGCTTTAGTCCAACCAAAGAAGACATCCATGTTGGTTTTTCCACCACAGATATCACACATTACATTACATACAGCAGGAAGTTGGAGGAAAGAGTCCATTCGGAGAGTCCTGAAACAGGCTGGTTGTGCAAGTACAGCAACTTTTCTAATCTCACTACAGATTAAACATCACCTCCTGAACAGAGAGGAAGCTGGAGGGGTGTAACGCAGTGTCCATAAAGGAATATCATACAAATGGTACTCTGGAAGAAGAGGAGAGGACAGGAAGAAAGACAATCATTGATCCACAAGTGTTCTGGAGGAGAGAGAAAAATGTATGGAAAGAATATATAGAAGGAGGAGAAAATGGATTCACAGCAAACATTGGAGGGAGGGAAAGGAAAGTTAATGATGGAAGAGAAACAGTGCTGAAGGGTAAAAAGAAGAGATGATGAATTGATTTATGAGGAAGTGATAGATTGATGCTAAAAAAGGACCTATGGCTCTAGCTGGAGATGGACAGTATGGCCGACGTGTCTTTAGCCTTGTCGAAGAAGATAGACGTCTCATTGGCTGCCTTCAGTTTGACCTGGGCGGAGCTTGGCGAGCCCTGAGCCGTGGTTGGCTGACACTCCTGACAGCAGCAGCAGCAGCAGTCCATGAAGGCCTGGCCGAGAGCCTGAAAGGCAAAGACATGCAGGTCAGTGACGTTACTGAATGTTACGGACTATTGCAAGCTAACAGCTGGGTCTGAACCGACCTGAGATTTGATGTGTAAATGTACAAAGTTTGGGTGTATAACCTTTTTGTATTTCATGCAGCGGTTAAGTTAGTAGCAATAAATAAATACACACTAATTACTAAAATGAACCTCTGCCAAAGCTCTATTTAAATGAACAGTACTTGTATCTGTGTGTTAAAGGCCCAGTGTGTAGGATTTAGTGGTACTCCTTTGCTTCACCCTCCCATTCCCAGCATGAATGAGGAACTACATTGCCCGCAAAAGGGCCATCGGTGTGGCCCTTTCTAGAGCCAGTGTTTGTTCTGGGCTACTGTAGAAACATGGCGGTTCAACATGGCGGACTCCATCGAAGACAGCCATCGTCCCGCCCTGATCGTCTCACCTGTGACTAGTTATCCTCTCCCTCCCCAGTGTTTTCAATGTGTGTGTACTTTGCGTCTGTAATGGAGATGGCGAGAGTTGTGACAACACATCGATATTTGATGCCCTGCAAATGAGAACAGGCTGAAGCATTAGGCCTTGAAGCTGCTGTGGGATCAGTTTTGTTTGAACAGAACAAAGTGGCTAACATGAAAAAGGGGGTCAGCAGGGACATCAGGCTGGAGCAGGGAAATGGGATCCAGGGTTTGTTAGTGTTAATAATGACACCTGTGTGGATGAGCTGTGACAAATAGGGGAGGTTCAATAGTGTACCTGAAGAAATGTCTTTGACTGTGTCGTACCTTTTTGAGCCCCCCCAAAAAATATTTGAATTAAGGGGACTCTTAAGACACCCTTGCTCATTAACACTGCAGGTGTGAGGGGGTCAAGTAAAAAAAGGATCTTGCCTGGGGTTTCTGGACTCTCTGAACCTACCTTACACAGACAGAGCAGCAGCACCGGCGTCACCGATGATTTGAAGAACAACAAGAAGTGATGCAACAGCGCCAGCATGGCAGCCGTGTCCTCAGAGACGGTTATGTGCGTGTAGGCCAGCGTGATGTTGCAGACGTGTTCGGGCAGAGCGCAGACACCGTAAACCACGGCTAACGCCAGCAGAGTGCAGTTCAGCTGCCGCTCCACCGCCTGGTGCTGCTGGCGCTTCTGATTGGTGGAGCGGTCGTCTTGGTTACGCTGCTTTTGGGCAGAGGTGGAGTCGCTGTTGACGTTGCGGGTGGCCATTTGGCAGAGGATGGTGAAGAGGATGGGGAGGCAGAAGTAGCAGCCAAAACACCACCACATACGCCCCTGAAACAGAGAGTACAGGAGTAATCTGATTACCTTAGCTGCAGAGATAGTGCTACTTTGTGGTACTTTTGTTTGTAATATTATTTGTTGCAATATGTCGAAGTTATGATACTTTGAGGTTCAGTTCAGTACAAAGATTCAGAGTTATAAAATCTTGTTTGTAGTTTAGAGCTTTGGCGGGTTGGGTCGGGTCCAATCAGGTTCTTCTTACCAAATTTATCATCTCCCATGAACTCCCCTCCATCAAAGAATCCTCTTAACTACTTATACCATATAAGTAGCTAAGAGGATTCAAAGAGCAACAAACACAATTTGGTCTGATGAAGAAATGTCTCGTCTAATTACAGTCAGTATAAACCATGTGAAATCAAAGATGGTGGACTGGAGTTACTATTCTGTGAGCAACAGTTTGACCGTATACTTCGACTGTGAGTACATTGGTAACTGGTTATTCATCATCAGTCACAATTAAAAGGTCATACTCATTACATTACATCAAATCCCAAAATGATTTGTTGGCCAATGAAGAGACAGAAGTAGCTGCATGATGCGGGATATAAGTTTGTTGTGAAGTATGAATCAATCATGACGTTACCCATTGGTTTTGTGGAGTACCATTTTGAAGAGATTGAGACCATAAACTCATCAGGAAACTGTTTACTGAGCTCATAAATCAAGTGAGAAGTCGGCTCATTTCTCCATAAGATTCAATACTATCAGACTTCTTTGTGCAGCCCATGGAGCTGCCCCCTGTTCGCCATTAGAAAGAATACAGGTTTAAGACACTTCCACGTTGGCTTCACTTTACAGACCCAGAAGGTCTGACTGATATATTCACTGTCAGAACCTCTTGTTCAGTTTATCCTGTGTGTCTGTGATATTCTCACCTGGTGATACCTGAGCAACAGAGAGTGGAGAGAGTCGGGCAGGTAGAAGGACAGAGGGGAGGAGGGGGTGATGGTGCAGGAGTCGACCAGCTGGCCGGTGGACGGGGACACGGCCTGGCTGAGCTGCCACAGGAAGATTTCGGGGCTGGACAGCAGCAGAGCGGCGAGCCACACCAGCAGCAGCTTCAGCAGCACTGAGCGACAGCGTTCCACCCGCCGGGCCTTCGGCTGGGAGGAAGAGGTGGCAGCGTGGAAACGATCGATACCCAGAGCGCAAAGAGTGAAGGAGGTGATGCCCAGAGACACAGCCTGCAGAGACGAGAAGGGAATAGACACTGATCAAATCTATGTTTTCAGCTCTAATCTCCTATAAAGTGGTTTCTCAAAGGACTAAAACTTTTATGAAAATTGAGAATCAGATTTCCCTGAGCTGGCTAAACTAAGAAATAATTACACATAAAACATTTTGGGAAATGTTTTTCTATTATTCTCATTTTAGAAAGCAATACAATGTCTATAAACCCTTCCTAAGTCCCGTCCTTTTTTGCTCTGTGCGCAAATAACAGTTGAGCAAGCCTATGTCAACTCCCTCTTTCCCTGTACTTAGATATGTCTTTGTGGTGGCTAATCTCATTTGTGTTACTGTGTTAAAACCTAAAACTGATATTGGTCCTTCAAGCCCTCAACCTTCATCTCCTAATAATAATAAATAATAATAATAATAATAATAATAATAACCTTGCTGTCAGTGCCTAAAGCAGATATCTGGATCTGGAGCTGGAGCTGGATTGTTGCTGCTATGCTGTCATTTCTCCTGGTGCAGAGATTCCTCTTCTGAGCTTTCTTCCATTTTGTTTTTCAAAGGGGTTTTTAGGGAGTTTTTTTTTTTTTTTTACCTGAATCGAGGATCTAAGGACAAAGGGCGTATGTATTGTATTGTATTGTAAACTGATATTGAAATTTAATTAAAGTTTTACTTGACTCTGCATGTGCAGTACAGAGTAATTTCCTGGATGCTTCACCCCTATGACACAGATCTAAAATCCCAGATAAGTCGCAGTAAACTGTATCTATTTAGAGCAAAACGGTGCCATAATAGTTTTTCATCTTTAAAGGACAATACTGCAGATTTCAGTGAAGTACTCGCTCTTTTCAGAAAAGTTGAAAGGTTTATTAATATAACTCGAACTTGAATAATGTTTCCAAAAGTTTTCAGTAAAATGCTGATCTATAGTTGCCGTTCAGTAGAGTCTACAGTACCCGCACTGTGACTTAAAGGGTTTGGAGTCCTTCAGTGGGTTCCAGCAGGTCCCCAGAAAAACTAGGGATAATTTAATTTCACTATTATTTAATTTACTTAAGTTATTCATTATGTCATAGTACATGCATACAAAATGTAATGTATTTTCACTAGTGAATGAAGTTGATCCAACCCAAGTAAATTAAGTTGGTCCAAGAGAATTTCTGAATCCTGAAGTAAATTCAAAGAATAACTTTTGAGTGTAACTACATTAAAAGTACAACAAACAGCATTTGGGTGGGACAAAAGCCCACAAGTCAGAATCACGCAGTTTAAAACCATCTGTTCTTGTTGGTTGATTTCATTCATCTGAATTTCTGTCCAACAAACATGATCCAATCATTTAATTAATATAAACACAATAGATGAATTTAACACTAACAAACTGCTACTCAAACACATTCCCTGGTTGTTGGGTTTCTTCCACAGGGCTCCTCAAAAACACCACCAGCTTCAACAGCTTGAGCATATTCAAAATCCAGGTCATAAAAAAGTGAAACTTCCACATGTTCTATTAGCCGCCACGATATGTAAAAAAAAACAAAATTACAGAACATGGGGAAATGTATTAAATATTGGGTTCAGGCTTACTTATTACATAATGAGGCAGATTGTTACATAATGTGGTGTTTTTAGCCCAATGAAAGAATGTATAAGAATTACTTTTTTTGTTCATATTGTTCAGTTCTGGAGTAACAAAATCTCATCATCAAATACGGGTCCATAGCCTGATGTGTATCTATCTGGGGTTCCTTGACACCAAGAAGTTTTGAGAACAACGAACTTAGGCAATGTGATTCGGTTTCATGTTAGTGCAGTGATCGACATTTGGTGAAAGCAGCAAAGAACGGCCAAGAAATGTTCCAGTGTGCCAGCAAAAGCAATGAAGAAGACCGTTAGCTAGAACACAAAATGTTAACAATGCGGTTTTCACCATATTGGTAAAGAAGCGGATGAGTAACAATGGATGTAAGAGTCCTAATACTTCAATGACAGAAAGGATTGTTTGCCAAACCGTCATATCTGACCATTATGTAACTTAAAACTTTAAATAAGTCAACTTTTGGTTTCATATGGGACCCAAAGCCCAGTCCCCAGGTTCAAAGTCCTCATTTGACCCATCCAAAAACCCCAACGGTCTCATGGACTTTTTATATCGCTCCAGTCATAATTACTACTTCCACTAGAGGTCGCCTAACAATAAATGTAAATATTGAAACCTCAAGGACAATAACACCTGATACATATTGCAGTTGACCTGAATTGGCACTAATAGAGAGTACAAGAGCAGCAATTTATAATAAAATCCTGGGAACCAATGTAAAGTCAGAGAACCCTAAAAATAATGTGTTTATATGCTTCAAAAGAATAATTTATAGAAATAATGTGAAGTCCTGCTCTCTTACATTTTCTACGCTAGGTCTCAGACAAACAGTACGGTAATACAACCATAAGCAAACATTGGATATCCTCATCCTTGTTGTATTAAGAAGTTTAATCTTATGACATTTGAAAACGTTCTGTTTATGGCCAATGTTGGTTTATTATCATTCACAATATAAAACCACACAAGAGGGGACTGTTATGTTAAATTTGGGTCTACAGCATTTGGACAAAACTGTTTCTCAGTTAAGGCGGCCTTGATGTGGAATTGGAAAAATAGTGCAGTACTTTTAAACATTTTAAATTTGAAAACATGGTCGAAGGGCAATCAGGTCTGTAGTTGTTGAGCTGTGAGACACTGATACCCCTTTTCATCAAGCAGTTTCAAGACCGGTTCGGAGCCAGGGCCTAATCTCAAAGCAGTTCTTTGCATTTTGACATTAAAGAACCAACTCCAATATTTTGCTGCTCTACAACCAAGAACTACAGGCCAGCCAGCTATATTAGCTGTGAAAGAGCTACTCATTTCTCACATAGACATTACAAACATAACGTTGAGCTAGCTGGCTAGCTGTTGGTTAGCTGACATTACCCAAGCAAGCATAGCTACTAATCAATGTTATGTTCAAAGTTCGTAACATTGATATAAGAATTTAGGAGCTATGCTTGCTTGGGTAATCTTAGGTGACCAAAAGCTAGCTAAAATTCCTACAATAGTGCCAAAAACCTTTTTTTGTTCCCAGGATAGTGAAGTCATGAGCCGCCCCGCTCTGACTCTGAGCCAGGCCGTACAACAATGATAATAACTGCTTGTTAAAAAGATCAGATCAGTATTAAGTACTGACCAATATACATAGTCCAGGTATCACAATTGGTATCAGGAATGAAAAAAAGGGTGATACAGAGGAAAATTAGCTATTAGCTATATCTGGTACAGAACATGTATTTTACATTGTCTCTGCTAAATAAACACTAAATAATAAATGTATCGAGAATACTTTTTAGGTATTAGACATATTGACACATCCTATAAGACTGATCTTGTGTCCCCGGTCCAACACGGGTCCCAAGTTGGTTCCTTTGAACCAAGTGGACCTGTGAAGACTTGTACCAGGTGTGAATAGGGTCCTGATAATCACCCACTAATGACCCTCTGATCTTTTCTCCACCAGAACAAACTGCACTTGAATGTAGGGCTGTGGTGGTGAAGGAATTTCTCCTGCAGTGATTTTGGGTGGTTCAACAGCACGGTATTACTTGGAAACCATAGGACATAAACACCACAGCAGTGGTGAATTAAGATAACGGACCAGTTAGCGTCTTCTACTTAAAGACTGCTGTTTCTTCCAGTTGGACGTTTTTTCAGAGTGAGTGAGGCAGAGTCTATGTGATTTTTATGTGGCACTGTAATCTTGGTCTGTGAACCAAAGGATACTGCTGTGTCGAATTTCTTCAACCTTGCCGCTCTAGGACGCTCTCCCGTCTTAAGAAACAAAGACAGAACATGTCGTGATGATGGGAAGTCACATGCTGTTGTGGCGGTAGCTTGCCATCCCCTGCAGTTGGCTTTTAAATAGTGCAGTGTTTCAACATCTCATCAGCCCTACTTGAATGCAAAAATGTATATGTGCACAACCAGTTTGTGCCTCTGAACTCCTTCATTCTCCTCAGAGGAGGAACCCTCCATTAACTATAATCTAGCGCCACCCTCAGGACAAATCACATTAACGAGTTTAACCCAGAACATGGCAACACAAAATCAGTTTCAAGCAATCTCTCTCTTCCTCCTCCATCTTCCACATATGCCCCACCCACCTCCATATAAGGCACCATGCGGCAGGTGATGTCACCCAGGATCCTCCTATGGGAGAGCTGGTTGAGGACCACCACAGGAAGGCAGATCACCAGGACCAGGAAGTCCCAGAATGCCATACTGGCCAGCAGGTAGTTCCAGGCGGACCTCATGTAGTAGTTGTTCCAGACGATACACATGACCGCCATGTTTCCCACCACGCCCACCGCCAGCACCAGGCCGGCCAGGAACAGGACCGCGTAGGCTGAATACGAGCTGTCCGCCAGCGGGTAGAAGGGGTTGAAGAGCCCCGGGGGATCGTGGTCAGAGATGGTGGTGTTTCCATGGAGATTGATATTATCGTTACCATCGTCCCCTGCTGCCACGTTTGTTACGTTGTTGATCTCGGTGGCCTGCGGCGTTGTCACCGAGTCGTTCTCGAAGGACTGGCTAAAGGTGGACTGTTGCTCTTCCTCCTCAGCGCCACGAGCCTGGCGGTGGTGCTGGTCCAGGTCTAGATCCAGCATCTCAGGGAGGGGGAAGCTCTGGTTGGTGGCATCGACCCCAGTCCTGAGCTGCTTGGTGATCCAAAGGGGTTCCAGTTTGACACGAGAGAAGGGTTTGTCTATGGCGTCGAGTTGACTGTCATGTTGCCCGACGCTCTTTGCGTCGGTAAACAGCAGCGGCAGGTACAGACACAGCCACAGACCAACAGACGGAGCCATGGTTCAGGTCTTAAATGAGAAAGATTCCTCTTAAATTGGGTGGATTCAAACCAGAAGGACGTGACAAGAGAGTAATAGTGCAGAATCCGGTGCAGCGCTCCAACAGAATCTCAGAAAGGTTTCCAAAATGTCCAAATATTCAGGAATAAAGCAGCTTGATGTCGACAAAGTTTCCAAACCTTTCAGTAAGATCTAGTTCAGAGTTCCTGACGAAAAGTCAGTAAAGTCGACAATTCCAGGGAAAGATTTTGGTTAAATTACGCCAGAGTTGGCTGCTGTTTACTCGACATCCACCGAAGTTCCAGGAAGTTTCAATTAAGAAACGCTTGTTTGTGACCAACTAGATTTTTAATAAGCTTGTAGTCCAGATAGGTCTTCTCTTCTCTTCTCTTCTCTTCTCTTCCCTTATCTTCTCTTCTCTTCTCTTTAAACTCCCAACACTCCTACACTAATACTAAGTTTGCCACTTTAAAACTCGCCTCTATTTTTCCCGTCCATCAGTAATCCAAACAGGTGTCGGAGCTCCAGGAGGAGGAGGGGGAGCAGGGTGAGGGACTGTGTCCGTGTCAGGGCTGCTGTGTCTGGGCTGCAGGCAGCAGAGAGACTGGGTGTCCTGGAGCTCTGAGGGTCTCTGGGAACAAGCAGCCCTCTGCAGTATGGCTGGATGGAGCCTTTGTCAGGACTCACACACACACACACACACACACACACACACACACACACACACACTGACAGGCCGACAAACACAGGCATACAAACAAGGTTGGCAGACACACAAATACACACATTTGTCTGCACAATCATGCATGCATACTTTTCTTTTGCTCTTTTTGGCTCTCACTGTCTCTCTCTCTCTCTCTCACACACACACACACACACACACATTTAAACACTCTCATCTGTGCTGCCCCCTGGTGGTGGTTTTACTGGGAACCAGAGCCAGCTGAGCTCAGTGAGAAACATCTGACTGGAATACTGATTCTTCTGTGTGTGTGTGTGTGTGTGTGTGTGTGTGTGTGTGTGTGTGTGTGTGTGTGTGTGTGTGTGTGCGTGTGTGTGTGTTTTCTTGTTGTGAGAACCAATTGAACCAGCTTCACAGTGAGAACATTTGCAGGGTGAGGACAGCTATGGCTTTCTTCTGTTTGTGGCTCCTAATATCACATATACTGTTGTACAATATCACATATACTGCTGTACAATATCACATATACTGCTGTACAATATCACATATACTGCTGTACAATATCACATATACTACTGTACAATATCTCAGATACTGCTGTACAACATCACATATATTTGTTTATATGTTATCTTTATGTTATAGTACCCATAATCATTATTTTTGTGCTGTTTTACCTTTTTAATCCCTTACATTTACACTATGAGCTGCCCTATATGCACCCCAGCTGTGTAGAGTCTGCCCTCCTCGTGTCAGTGTTTCAACAAGGATGAGCAGATTATCCGTCAGAGAAAGAGGATCGAAGCAGAGAGAGTGAGCTGTGGGAACAGGAATCAGGTAAACTCTCCCAGTAGTCAGAGAAGTTTGAAAGGACCTGATGCAGATGTGAAAGCTGCAGTCAGAACCTGTAATAGATCAGTTTATATTGTATAGAGAAAGAACAGTTTATAACCTTAATTACACTAATTACCAGGCAGCAGAGCCAAAGCTCAGTTTTTATATATTTATTAATATTCTATTAAATACAGTTTGTTTATAACTCATTCTGTTATGTATAGATGATATAGATATATGATTGTTCTGTTCATTGTTGTGTTTTTATTTTATTTTGTACAATTATGTTGTTATTCTAATATTCCTGTGTCTGTGTTTCAGATAAATGTCCTCCAAGATCAATAAAGTGTCTGTCTGTTTTTATTCCCCATCAAAACACAATCTTTATATTTTAGTGTTAATATTTATATTAATCTCAGATCTGTGTCTGCGCACACACTCACTGAGCTGCAGTTCCACTTTCTACCACTAGAGGTCGATATCGCTTAATGTTCAACTGTGACTCAACAGCAGAATCACCTCCAATCCTCAGATTACTGATTACAATGAGATCCTTTATTCAAGTAAATACTCTGTTACAGGAAAAAGTCCTACACCGAAGTTAAAGTATGTAAGTTCTATCAGGAAAATGTACACAGAGAATTAAAATTATTAAAATGATTATTATTGTTATTGTTGTTGTTGTTAATTAATAGATTGCTATTATTTTTTACTATAAAGTAATTCATATTGTAAGGATACTATAAGTACGAACATCATATTTAGGCAAATGTAATATTAACTCTTGTTGTTGTTTTCTTCTACTAATGATGATTTATAACAAAACATATTTTATTATATTATATTTGAATTGTGTGCAAACATCTTAACATCAACAGTAACTAAAGCAGATAAATGTAGTGGAGTAGAAGCAGGAAGTGGCATGAAGAGAAAATACTCGAGTAAAGTACCTCAGTAAGCGCAGTACTTGAGTAAATGTAATTAAGTTATTTTATGACTCATTAATACATTTTACTTTATATATTTTGTATAGTTTTTGTTTTTATGAGCCGGAATTTCATTTTAAAACCCTGTGTTGTAAAATCACTATTGACCCTTTCTAAGCCCCGCCCCTTTTTGCTCTGTGCTCCAATCACAGCTGAGCTGGATATGCTATATGCTAGGCTAATGTATGTTCAAAAGACAACCACATTTCGAAGATGTTTAAAAGATAAAAGACTCATTTCTATACGGAGAGGTGCCAGTTCCACCTCCTGTGCGCTGCCGAGGTGCCCTTGAGCAACCCCCAACTGCTTCCAGAGTAAATCTTCTTCTTCTTAACTTTGTATGTTTTATTATAACTGATAGAAATAAACCTTTCTAAATGTCACATAATTAGAGACATTCTTTTGCTCTCACAGGTTTGAAGAAATGAACTTTATTTAAACAGGAAAATCAACTCGCAGCCAATCAGAACTTCAGGATTTACAAAGGTCACGTTACAGGATGCTATCAGGTCTCTGAGTAAACAACCTACACACACACACACACACACACACACACACACACACGTGTGGGTGTTTGTCAAATGGGCAGTGTTTGTGTGTCAGTAACCGATCATCAGGTTTTTTCCCATGATGCACCAGGGCAGTGTAAATGTCAGTCACACACTTTGAACATTATAAGAAGCAGAAAAATGTTTCTTTGGATCGATTTAAAACACAAATGTGGAAAATTAATATTCAATCTGTGCAACTTTCCTGCAGCTCGAACCGTGAAGTACAGTAAAATAACAGAAAAATCCAGCTGAACTCTGCTATAATACAATAATCAGACTTACATTTACAGCAGAGTGCTGTTATTATTGGATTGTTATTATTTTAATGTGAATGTTAAAAGTTATAGAAGTGTAATAAAAGTCATTATCTGTGAGATTACAGTTATTATTGCTGTTTACACTGATAACAACTGTATTTGGACAGTTTACCTTATACACTGATAAACAACATTTATTCAACTTCCATCATTATACAACATATCTGTCAGTTAACTAACTAATACATTAAAATTACACAACTAACACTTTTATTAGTTAATTGTCACAAATTTTATATAATTTTAGAAATGAATTAACAGTATTGAACTTAAATTTAACTGTTTAATCTATTAAATAGAAGAAAAGAAACAGTAGAATATAGATAAGCAAATGTATTTTAACTGAAAAAAGTTATGTTAAGTTATTATGATTATTCACAGTTACAGATTTTTAACATTATTTTAGCAGACATGTAAATTCACAGGCTGTTTTTATAATTGTATTAATATTTCCATGCATTTAAAGAAATTAAAGGTAGACTGCTGCCCCCCCCCGCAGACAGGAACATGGATTCCTAGGAGTCTCCAGAAGATTAACTGTAATATCATTAACTGTTGGCTGCTGACTCAGAGACGAGTTCCTGCCTGAAGCTTCAGACGCTGACCGAGGGAGCAGAGCGCAGGCGGGGAACAGGAAGTGTTTCATGTTACCTGCTGTTAGCACACTGATTATTCACAGAGGTGGAAACTACAAACAGTAGTTTGTTCAGGTAGCTGTACTTCCTCCTCCTTACCTTTTAAAAACAGGCTCATTACTGTAGTTTTAATACATTTGAGGGGAATTATTAATTATTATATAGTGCAGGAATGGACTAAACATGGTGTTCAAATGCATTTGTATGCGTTTGATTGGCGGATGCAGCTCACTGTCAGATGACCCCGAGCTTTTCTTCCCAGAGGCCTCAGCGGCGGCACCTCAGCTGTGTGAACGCAGCAGGTTCGTTAAGATGAATGAGGGCTTCACATTTCAGTCTGAACTCATTGAGAGACACACACACTGTAAACCAATCATTGATCACTGAGTTTAAACCTTGACTGACAGGTTACAGGTGTTCCCGCCTCCATTTATCAACCAATCAGGTGAGCGGACGGGCTGCATATGGACACGCTCAGTCCGCTCGGCTCCTGCAGCGCTATATAAGGTTGTCAGTCTCTCCGGTGGAAAGACATGGAGGGCAGCACGGGTCAGCGGACACGCTGTCACACACTCACACACCCACACACACACACACACACACACACACACACACACACACTCACACACACACACACACACACACACACACACACACACACACACACACACACACACACACACACACACACACACTCACACTCACACACACACACACACACTCACACACACACACACACACACACACACACACACACACACTCACCACACACACTCACACACACACACACACACACACACACACACACACACACACACACACACACACACACACACACACACACACACACACACACACACACACACACACACACCTTATATGGGAGAGAAAGCCGGTGGAAAATGTCGGTGTGAAACAACAGAGCGTGAAAATTCCTCCTTTCTCTTAAATCCAATCTAAATCTCCCAGAGCTGACAGTCATGTTTAGTTTGGAGCGAATCATCTCGCTGCGGCTCAAAGATGACCTAGAAAATAAAAACACACTATCTGGTCTCATAGTTCATGAGGGATTTAACCCAAATTCACACACGTGATCCACGTCCCCTCCACTGACGGGTCAGACTTCATCCGAACACCCACACGTTCCTGAAGAACTTTACTTCAGTAACTGTACTAATACCACTGTAACAGTACTAATACCACTGTAACAGTACTAATACCACTGTAACTGTACTAATACCACTGTAACTGTACTAATACCACACTGTAACTGTACTAATACCACTGTAACAGTACTAATACCACACTGTAACTGTACTAATACCACTGTAACTGTACTAATACCACTGTAACTGTACTAATACCACACTGTAACTGTACTAATACCACTGTAACTGTACTAATACCACTGTAACTGTACTAATACCACTGTAACTGTACTAATACCACACTGTAACTGTACTAATACCACTGTAACAGTACTAATACCACTGTAACTGTACTAATACCACACTGTAACGCCTCTGTGTTATTAACCGATGCTGGACAACCAGTAGCTCTGGTCCGAGCTGCTCTACCTGTTCACACAGACTACGCTAACAGTGATGGCAGATTACAGCCGGACTCCTGAAGCCACCAGCGGCTCCGGCACACAGCGGCTCCGGCACACAGCGGCTCCGGCACACTCTCATTAATAAGGTTTTGGTGTATTTAAAGGTCCAGTTTGTAACGCTGAAGAGGATATCTTGTGTCTGTTTTAGCCTGTAACTAATGGGACTGCGTGTGAATGAGTGTGTGTGGACATTGATGCTATATTGATTGTTTCCCATCATATTGATTGTACAGTTTTCTTTATGAGTATCAC